TTGCAGGGATTAAAAGGCGGCGCAGCTGCTGCAGTGGGATGCACATGGGTGTTGGTGTTGGTGTTGGAGACACTCCCGGAGCTCAGTTTGTCCAGCGTACATGCAGTGCCGATTGCTCGAACCACAAGGCCTGACTCTCCCTCTAGATCAAAACACTGCAGGTAGCCCACCACTGCGTTCCCACCCATCTCCAGTACTTTGAGTCCAATTTTCCTCTGGAGCTCTCCTAAATGTGGATTGACACCAAAAAGTACCAGAGCAACGGTGAGATAACACGCAGTAGAGCAACATCACAGTAACATGAAATGCGGACACTCTTACCAGACATAAGCGAGATGAGCCTCTGACGAGCCTCATTAGAGGCACGAGGAGTTCTAATTCGATCAATCCACTGGTATTCTGGATCTTCGTTAACGACAAGTTCTTCCACAAAGCCATGCACGGTGGCTACGTGGTAGCAACGTGGGATGGACGTGGCTATTACATAATACGAGATAAGCATTAGAAGTGAAAACATCAAAACCTATGTATAGGGATGGGTGTCGGAAATTATTTGAACAATTCCGATACCGTTACCAGTGCTACATCAATTTGACTTCTTACTGGTTGTTTTTGTCAATTCTTATTATGTTCGAAAATATTTCGCAAATGTAGTGCAAAAAAAAAAAACATGCAGGATAAGAGGCAGAAACAATATGTAGATTCCACTTAAGCCAACAAAACTATTTGCATATATGTTTTTATTATTAGACATCTACTGCTCATCGGTGGGACTCTAAAAATGCATAATATTATATTATTATTAAATATATATTAATTAATTAATTAATTAATATTTATTAATTAATATTATATATATTATAATATTATAGGCATAATATTATATGCATAGTCCATGCATAGTCCGGGAAAACCATTTGTTGACTCCCTCAATCTTTACATTAGAGAAAAAAAAAATCTCAACCAGCGCATGCAGAGCTATTCACACAGGCTGCCATGAATTCTATTATTTTTCTTCTGCTAACCAGGAATCAGGTGCTTATTTCCACAACACAGAGGACAAGCTACCAAAAAAAGGCAGGCCAATGAAAGACACTTAGATTTAAACACTTGGATTAGTACAATGTTAAGCTCTATAGTTAATTTATTGTAATCTTTCCTTAACACCATCAGAACATATTATGCCGGAACTTGATGAGAACCAGTTCTTAATTTTCATCGCTACCTATGTAACTTTAAAAAAAAGCCATTACTCTTTAATAGTCACCAGTCCTTGTTACATGTGTCAGATTGTTCACACTATCAACTTCAACCCTCATGCAAACACAAATCAGACTTACTGCAGAAGAACTTAACGCCACAGGAAGATTGTCTGAAGCGGTTTAAATCATTGAAGAGCTCAACTTTGACAAGTACATTGATCTCCCCTCGAATACCTGACAAAAAAAAAAAAATGGACAAAAACACAGGGGAAAAAAAAAACAAGTGATAAGCAAGGGAAAGTTTTGTAAAGTCGTTAGGGTCGTCTGAGTGCCTTAAAGTACCATGAATAGTATCATATATGGGAAACCAGCCAGAGATGACAGAAGCAGCTTCGCTGCAAAGCAGTGGGTCAATGTCAATGTAAACCTTTCCAATGGCATCGTTAGCACTGTACGTGTCATGATCTAACACTGTAATCTGCAACGGTTCATCCTGCAAGTCCTCGTCGTCAACCTAAACAAACAAATAAAAAGGAGAGAAGACATATTCAGGGTAAGGATACTAACTGTATGAAACACTAATTAGAACATTACAAAATGTTGCGTAGCATGCGGATTGGCTTTTTACCTCAAATTTGAACCATTCAGAGTTCCATTGTGGATTTAGCGATTTTGGACATACGTCTGTTTTGAATGTTGTGTTTCCAAACTTGACCTACAAAAAAAAAAAAAGGCAGACAGTAGTTATTGTATAGCAAAACACTACATAGGATAGGATACTACCTCCTGGCCTGCTACATTAGAGTAGGGGGGGGGAGGGGGGGGGGGGGGGGGGGGGGGGGGGGGGGGGGGCAACTAGCCTTAGTGTGAACGCACCCTTAATTTTGTCATACTTTTGAACTTCAACTTCAACAAACATTAGGCAGAAACCAGTATTCCGAACCATAAAAAAAAAGAAAAACTCACATTACAATAGTAGTAGCATGCAGCTAATGAGCTAATTAAACTCAAGAATAATTAATGTGGGTTTTTAAAGGTGGTGTTTACAGTTCATTAGCACTGTTTGATAATGTTAGCATTCATGCACTGAGACAACTCCAGTCGCTTATGTCACTTATGTTAAGAGAAAATGCTGAAAAAGAAAAAAAAAAAACACAAAGAAAAAAAGGCAAAGGTACCCACCTCCACAAAAGCATCAGTAAGGTCACTGGCTCGGTCCATGACAGGTAAGTGGCGCCCAGCCACTATCTTGGCCTTCAGCTTCCCAGGCATGACTGTATGTTAAATTGATCTCTGAATAAACAATAAAACGAGGTGAGTTAAACTGTTGTCACTACCAGCCGTGTAAACAAAACACTCCTTATTCAAAAGACATATGCTGTTGACAGTATGGAGAGCCGCCCTTCAGGTTGCTAACAGCTAGCCTTCACTAAGCTTATTTTTGCTACCTCCACAAGAGGATTATGTAACTCTGCAAAGCTGCCAAACTGGGAGAAGATGATTCTACTGGTCCCACTTGTGTGTCTGTTGGTGAGAAGAATTACAAAAAGCACGTCACCAATTTAGTTGTCAGGATTAGCTTGAAAGGCACTCCCATGCCCTTATAGAACTGCAACGTGAAATGTCTAAGATTTCATATTTGACAGACATGAGAGGAAATGGTATCACCTCTGGTTTACCTATGCCTGTACATGTTACCAAGCCAAGCCAGCTTATATCTTACTCAAGTCAAAAATAATTTAATATAAATGTAGGGTTTTTTAAATGAATTAATCACATTATTTAATTTGTGAGGATTAACATTTGTAATGCATTTGAGGGCATCGGAATAGCCATGCATAATATACTGTATATCCAATAATTATTTTTGCATTCACTGTGTCATTAGTTAATAGACACACTGCTGAAGCATAAAGTACAACCTCAACACCCAGTGTGTGTTTGTGTTTGGAGGCCTCAGCTTCAGGTCAGACACCCTGCATGCAAATGAACTGAGTTACTGGAGACTGATTCATATTGTTGAGTACAACAGCATCTTCAATGTTTTGAAAGAAACTCCTGATGCAGCAATGACGTAATCCACCAACTGGATGAAAAATATGTTGACCTTGGTATAGTTATTACACAGTTCTGATATGATTTGATTCATACGTGTGTGCTTTCACTTGATGTTCTTTCATACTAATAATTAATCAAATCTGGTGTGAAACACACATCTACCTGCTGTTATTGGTTCCAAAAAGAAACAGAACACTGTTTTTGTCATATTTAAGAATGTTGAGTTATCCTGATTACCAGTAATTTAATCATATTAATTTCATAGTAATTTAATCAAATTAACGTTTAATAGACTAACAGCCCTTAATAAACTGATATCGCATGTTCTACCTCATATACACAGTGCGAAAAACCAGCAGTTGTACATAAATTATGTTGATGTTAGTGATGTGACAATCTGTTGTCAGTTTTGTGTTTAATGGAACAGGACTTCCGGTCCACTAGGATTTTAAAAATATTTCTTTTAAGTCCTGTTGTTAGAACATAAACTGCATTTCGTTTACCCGTCAGTGTAAACATACTCTCTATCTGGCTCTAATTTAGCGGCGAACTCATGGCTGAGCTATACACCTAAATATGACTTGATAAGTCACATCGTCATTTCAATTCACTAGTTAGTTACATTGTAATGGACTTAACTATAGTCAAAAGGTTACAATAATACATATAAAAAGGTTCATTTAGCGTTTCCGCGACTGTTTAGCAGCCACGCTTCTGTTAGCAAACGCAGGCTAGCGAGAAGCTCGGGCTACTCGAGCTAAACTGCATTGCAGGTAGATACGGTCCCTACAGCTCACCACAACCTGGTTAGGTAATAATAGATATTATAATTAACACAAACCATTCAAAAAATAATAAAAAAAAAAGCTGCTCACATTTGACAGAGACAGGTTCTCACCGGCGATGTATTATAAAAGGACAGCTGTCAAAGTAGCGCAAGCTCGCCATTTACAGCAGCCCACCGCTTATCGGACTTCTCTGTGTCTCCCATAACACAAGTCGTTTCGTTGCTCCAACACGCTCGCAGTTCATTTAATCACTGCAATTTGCCAAGTGATAATACCGGTGAAAAAATAAAATAAAACGGTCACTGCTGTAGGTACAACATACTGTATGTTCGAGAGCAATGTATTTGTACTGACAACAAAACGTCGTCGGTTAACGTATTGATCCGCAGCACACCGTTCAGAACGGGACCCACCTTAAGGCGTGGATATCGAGTAATAAAAAAATAACGTTTACTCAGCCGAATAAGTAATCTCACACTAAATGTAAATTACAAGAGACAACAACAAAGAAAGTAACAAATTCTCACACTAAATGTAAATTACAAGAGAAAACAACAAAGAAAGTAACAAAGATGACGCAACACACATTCGGTTTAAATTTAGTACTTTCTTAATTGAGCAAATATTATTTGCAGATGCAAATGCAGCAGATAGATTTTATTAAGCGACACCCAGTGGTGAAATTAC